ATGCGTATTCTAACCACATTTATTCGAAGTGAGCGGCAATTCCCGTTCCAAGCGAGAGAGTACAGAACATTATATGATGGAGAGAAACGAAGGTGTATACAGTCAAGGTGAGTGTTTCGGGATCCTCACATCATCCTGGGGCCAACGTGCTTCTGCTTACAACCTGTTGGAAACTCTGCAGGTAGCACGTGTCATTTTGTAACCGAAATGCCGGGCTAAAGTTCGCCTATTGTTGTGTGCTTGGCTCACTTCGGTGTGATACTCAAGTCTGTTTAATTTAATGCTGTTCAGGTCAGTGGGTGGCTTCCGGCATTCTACTCTTTATCACGACCTACCTGACTTATTTGTGTATGACCGTAAGGCAGCAGTACGTATTATGGTTAATTGCCATCAATGATAAGGATGACTCTGATGTTAATGCTCGCTTTGTCCAAGTCAGGGAGACAGAATGCTGCCCTGACGATTCAATTAAGGGGGGATAAAGCCAGTTGACCGCGACGAAGAAGAATCGTGGGTCCATGGATGCACTGTGCCCAAGTCATGACGGAATATGCATATTATGAAGGCAATAAGATGGTAGTGTAATGTGTGGAAGTGTTTAAATGAACCTTATGTTGGAGTGTGTCGACTGCTGCCGAGATTGCTAACAGATGAAAGGCGCGTGCCTTATGTTGTACGCACGCGCTCCCTACCAAATTTACCTGTATGGAAATAGCACATCGAAGCGTTTGAGTCGACCGTAAATCTGGGCGTTGACATCTGCCCTGTCGTCTTACCCATCACGAACATTTACACTTGGTAGTGTCTTCACAGCATCTCCCTGGATAAGCGAGGCCGTTTACGCATAGGAGTGAGCCGTTAGCTCCAAAGAGATGCACGTAGGACAGGACCCTCTGCGTTCATGTCACGTGTGATCTGGACAAGTTGCAGATTATGCGCTAATGTCACAGATGAGTCGTTTCACGAGGGCTCTGACAGAAAGTTTGGTTGCATTTATAACATCTGTTGCGGCATCTTTTGCATTCTGACGAGGTGGTATGTGGCTCTAGTACATATCTCCCAATTATAATACCTGCACGAGTCCACACCTGCACATGTATGAAGGAACCGAGGACCATCGTCTGTTGAAATGAAGACTGGGCTTTCGGACATGTATTCGACAGACGGGGCCAATACTCGTGACCTGAGATGTAAGAACCTTCCCCAACTCGTTGGGTACAAACTCCTTGAATTACAACGAGGCATTGCGTGTTCATTCAAATAACTGAACTCGTATAACTATCCTACGGTCAACCATCTGTTCTCTCACGATAAAATGCACCCAGCTTTGTCTGCGAGCAGGCCTCTCACTTGGCTCTGAGAGTCAACTCTTGCATTGTTACCGGGGCCATTCATAAATGAGCAATGGCTTAACCGCTCCTCGTAGATCATGAAGAATCGAAGCCTTCTAGCAGTCATTTTGTTGGGAAAAGTCCTATAGTTAAGGCGAGAACATGGACATACGAGCTATTTGTAAATTGAAATGCGGTCAAAATCAAGATCAGTTCGAGCTAATTTCAACACAATCTTGGCGAACGAAAATTACACTTAAAGCAAAAGGGACGTCAATATGAGTGGCGCAAATCCGTGCAGTAGCGCGATTTCTTCAAAATGAGTTGACCAATGGATACTTGCGTCCGAGTATTGAGGCACGCAGTGTCCACTATATATTCTCTGTCTCCGGACACCCCATCCAGAGGCAGATTTTCTTACCATATGAGAGCTAAATCAATGTTTCCTAATGACACCCGTTTCGACCTTATAGGTTATTTTCGAATGTCCATATAGAGGTTGTTTAGGAAGGCATTACAGCCTAAGCGACGTGCTCTCGATCCCATATCAATTTAAACTCCGAATGACTCGAGAAGTTGGGATTTAGTGTGGCCAATGTATGCACGTGATGCTCAACAGAAATCAAAGTTGCAGTCAGTAGATGATCCGAGTCCGAAGACTGCATAGTGTCCTTGGCTTGCTGCCGACTAAACGCACCAACACTTCAATAGCACGGTACAATGCCAATCGAAACAATACTGAATAGTCAGTCCTCCAAAATGGGGAGCGCCTCCATACAGGCTCCATTAGATATAAATCGACTGAAGTTTGCGCTATGACGCAATCTGATTCACCCTCGCATCAACAGTCAGGTCTACAACCGTAGTTACACAAGCCCCAATATTGATTTTTACCACATAGTGGAAGCACTCACCATGATCAACAACTATTTGCGGAAAACTGGAAGAACGATGCATAACGTTCCTTTCTGCACTTAGTTCAGTGTTTGTGAAGTGAATGAATGGAGGGTACAGTGGATTGTCACGTCTCCGGAACATCCTATGTATTTGCATCACCGAGGAGAGTATGTCACTGTTGCCCCGTCAGTGCGAGATCGGCCACATTTCACCGAAACATTTGATCCAAAATGCAATGTGCGGCTCATATATTTTCCCACCACAGCAAACTACATCGACTGTCCCAACATAGCCAGTGGTATGCGTAACCAACCGAGTTCCCAGTTCCCGAAAGAATGAAACTTAGGGGTGAGCGAGATATCGTAGTGCTAACACAACCTGTGGTATAAAAAATGCCATGTCAAATGGGGAGCCGCAGATAGCTGAAGTCCACAGTGCGTTCAAAGGCGGAGCGTGGCGTGGTAACTCGCTCCAATTACATAAAGCACCCACCACACACGGATGTCGCTAGCTTTTGGTCTTCCATAATCAATTTAGTCAATACAATACCGAAAGCCACTGTCGTATGCTTAATACGTCGAAATGCCCAGCGTTAGGATGGGTCACTCACAAATACGCACAAAAAGTACACCTGAAACGTAACGCGTCAAAGTATTCAATACAACCAAAAGTTATCAGTGAGAAGCAAAGGGAGAGCGGTAACTGAAAGCCGGGGATTGGAGCGGCGAATAAACCAAGGTTCTTATAAACTTGATCGGCGACCAGCTAAACATCCCCTTCAGACCTAATTGCGGTTTTTTGCGCGTACCAACGGGTTTGGTTTTAAACAGGTGCAGAAAGTACGTTTCCGCCTGACGTTAACCTATGTAAATTCCCTGTGGTTTCTCAAATCATTATAGGCACCAGTAAATACCTTTATTCCGGGCAGACATTTGGCTGTGCATTTCCAGCTTCGCCACAGTTGGTAGGAGCAACACCTGACACCAATACTGGACCGCTATTTGAAATCATGTTGTCACGTAGAAAGAATCCACACCAGATTGCACTTAGGCGAACTGTCTAGCCATGGACTTGCTTTACTTTACCACATTCTATTTCCTCAACCAAGCTGCAGCTCGCCAAATCGCGTTGTGCCCTCATAGTCCTCCAGCTTTCCTATTCGGCCACTTTGCGGAAGACAGGTGAAAGGAAGAAGGCCCTCGCTGCGGAGTTATTTATTAGAGAATGCCAACTGACCAGTTACAGACTATTGGACAGGGTAGCAAAACTCTCATATGCATCTTGTTTACAAAAACTGAACATCCATCTTCTCTTGAACGCGTCTTCCTGAACTTTCCTGGATATTCGTTGACTGTTGCTCAGGTCCACGCGAATGCTACAAAGCAACCCCATAAATCCCGCAAAAGATTTCCCTTTTCAAGAGGCGCAAAGCGAATTGACAAGAAAAATACTACTCGCATCCATTCCTCATCAGTAGTATCATCGTTACACAGGTAACTCGGGTGCACTGCTTGGTTGTTGGTCTGAGTGAGTGACCCGCCCAACCCTGCACTGACGATGTCACCTCGCTTGGTGGCGAAACGTTTGTAATCCAACCGTCAAGCTCGGCTAACAGACCAACAACCAAGCTTTGCTCTTCGTATTGAAATTCGAATCGACATTCGGATACCGCTTGAGAACGGCATACCCGACATTTCATTATCGTACATTACAATACTTTTCGGTTAAATCCCTTTCTTTAGTAACCTTATTCTCGGGTATCGCCTAATGTTTGATAAGCAACGGTCGCCTAAGGAAAGGAGCGAACCTAGTGGAGTTCGATAGCATGAAGCGAATAAGAAGTGAAACAAGCACCAACATGTAGAAAAGGCGCCAAGTCTGATTTGATGTTGGAATTAAAAAAAATAAAGTGAGAAGCTGGAGGATCAATGAAGATTAATGCCCACTGTCAAGCCGACTCTGGCTGTTAGGTATACAAATTAACTTTACAGTAGGAAGTGAATTTACTCAGATGATGTGGCAGGCAACATTCGGTGTTTGGGCATAACTGATCGACTGAACCAAATATCTTTGACATAAAATCAATTGGGTGAGTACGGTTACTAGGGTCACGCGTTAACTGAAGACTTCGCAGACCTGACAACTGATGACGGAGATCCGCTTATCGGCAGAAGATAACAACATGCTACGTCATATACCTAATGTCTCGCATTGCTGACGGACAGTTGCGACCTGGGACGCCCTTGAAGTCCATCCTCAGAAAATTGCAGAACGAGCAACGCAGACAGTGAAATAAAATATCTCCGGGCTAAGGAGCGAGAATCAGCCCCAACACGTCCCCATACGGCCTCAACGGAGCGGACTAGAGAATCACCAGAATCCCTTAGCTGAGATCCGTTAGCATCAGAGGTGAGATGGACCAAGTGGTTAGAGCGCGAATTTACTGACCGGAAGGTCCGTGGTTCGAACCCGACCTCTGCCTCTCGACTTCCCCCGTCTAGGCTTGGGCAACCTGGCAGTATCACAGCCCTCGTGCAGCATGGCAGTTAGGCACCGAAAGGTGTTACAGCTGAACGATTTTTTTGTGTTACACTATCCACCGAAAGGTTTACAGCTGAACGATTTTTTTGTGTTACACTATCCTCACAGTTTTTGCGACATCTTTTAGACGGAAAAATAATCCCTTGAAAAACCTGGTAGACCATAGCGCCGAAAATGTGTAGGAAACTTCACGATCAAGATAATCACAGAGCCCGGTTCGGAACATTCATTGACTAGAATTCGGCATCTGATTATAATGTGGTAAGAGCAGGCTGGAGATTTACACAGCAGCAAGATTCAAATCCAAATGCAGCAAGCGTAGAGTGAGTATAAGTGATCATATTACGAGCAGGTGAGAAACTGTGGGAAATTCACAAGTAACAAATCAAAAACAGGTGACCAGTGATACACCCCAGAAAATTTTCAAAACAAACCAAGCCTTGCCAAGTCAATGGGAAAAATGGATAGGCATGGAAGTTCAAAATAAGATTATTCATGCCCTGATTGTTAGGTGAGGAGTGTCTGCATTGTCCATCAAGAGACCTGGTGTGACAACAGATACACACGGATGGATAATAGTCCAGTTTCCTCCAAGAGAATCAAAAAATAAGTGACCACCGTTGAAACGGGCCGCATTCATGGGAAATTCCGCAGAGTAAACAACCTTTCACTCGTTCAAAGCTGACGGAGAACGACAATAAAGTGTGGACGCTAAAGCTCCTTCCCCAGTCTAGAAAGCTGAAAGGGTAATGAACATGAAACAAAATGAGGAACATTTTGCGAATGGAAAGATAAAAAAAGTTGAAAGTGAACAAAAGTTAGCGCACAAATGCGGTGTTCTATTTAAGGAGTTGAAACTAAGTTCTGCACACTACGCCTTTACACCTAAAGTGTTCCTAAATCTGCCCAAAACTAATAAAAGCGAACCATTGTAGCCTGTGAGCCAACTGGGACCTTGAAACAGATCAGAAGTGATGTTCTCTTCAAACAATCCTCAATTGCCTATAGCTCATGGGTTCCCATGGCTTACTGTTGGCTTCAAGAACCTGCCAACTGAGTGAACTGGTAAACCACGCATAAAAATAACAGCATCAAAAATACGTATGAGGACATATTTCAGAATGACCAAGAGCAAAATGCCAGTCATATCCGTCTCGGTTTAGTAGACTGTACGTAGCTTATGGCAACCATATCTTTAGATCATTACAAGAGATCAGATGAATTTGTGAAAACAGATAAAACATTAGGCCTCTGTCAGGCACCGAACCACTCGTATGCAACTAAGGGAGGGTCCTATATTCTCAAGGGAAATTCAACCTTGTAGATGGTTATATACCGTATTTAGCATGTTCACTGAAGGCCTGTTGTGACCCTGTCATACCAGACTAAATGGAGTTTCAAACTGTAATTCCCAGGACATGGTAATGACCTGGCCTGTGTTTCGATTAGTCTTACCAAGGCTGACGGACAACTTCTCTATGCGCCACGCAAATTCACCTTCCACGTACGGATATATGACACCTAGACATCAAGTGGATAAAAAATGAAAAAATGTAGCCACCTGCACTTTCCAGCATGAAGGTCGTAGGTGTTGATCCTCTGGGAAACGACCCGATAGGCTCTGAGTGTCATAGTTAAACATTCGTCCTTTTGAACCTTACCCACCCAGGTCACGAGCTTCCAGGATATCATCATCCATGACATCCAATTAGCTGGGACTAAAGTGATCACCGAATCTTTGTACTTCGAAACTTATGTAGTTGTTTACCACACCATCATGCTAGTTTTATCTTCTGTCCAGACAACTCCCATTGGTATAAAAAACTCATCAATAATAATCAGTTCGGTCGGAGTCAAATGCATGTGGCTTTGCAGTACGATCGAGCTGGATGACCAGATTTGGAATCGGTCTCTTCATATGATCGTTCGCTGGAAAACTACACTTTGTCTAGTACAGCTAAATTGATGCGACCTACCTTTTCGGATAATTTAGGCACACATCACTTCGGGTTAACAGCAGCGGATGATAGTGTAACAGAAACATAAAGAGATGAACGAAGTCTGGGATTCTGGTTTGATCAACGAGCCAATTAGCGTACTTCTGCATGAAACGATTCGGCATGTGATGACCTATCGAGTTTATCAGAGCATCGCTTCAGTCGCATGGTGCAGTGGAGTTTCCTAGAGAGCCATTGATGTGATGTTAAGCGCCGCATCCGACAACGGATGCAATGCAGTTCGGCAAACAAAAATTATCTTTGTTCACCTCCTCGCTTTGAATCGATTTGGACCGTTTGGAATGTCTAGTAAACATTCGAAATCCCAACTTAGAACTCAATCAGTCAGCTAAGGTCTCGGCAAACAAAAATTGTCTTTGTCCATCTCCTCGCTTTGAATCGATTTGGACCATTTGAAATGTCTAGTAAACATTCGAAATCCAAACTTAGAACTCAATCAGTCAGCTAAGGTGTCTGCAACACAACAGGACGATGGACCTACAGCTTTTGACGCACTTGGCCGAGAGTGAGGCTGGCAACAAATGTCGCCTAAAGCAGAGAAGCGACAGCCTCAAGGTTCGCTGGTGTGCTCTATTTTCCTAAACATTCCTCGCAGGCGAACAAGTCAAAAAAGCATTCGTTGACACTGATGAACACCGCCTCATAGACAACGATATTGCGATTCTTAACCACCTAATCTAGACGGACCATCAGGCCGGACTCAACTCTGTGTGGATAGAAGCGATCAACCGCCACGCAGCCTGCCCTGACGACCGATCAGACAAATGCCAGTCACTCAAACCACATGAGTTCTACACTGTCCTAATCGGTGTTACTTAGTGTGCAAGGGCTTTCTTGCTGGTTCGTTTAGCCTGTTATTCTGAAAATGTCCAGTCTATCGAGAGCTTGTTAAAATCATACGTTCGCTTAACCGGAAATCAAACACTCACCTGATCCAAGAAGTCCGTGGCATTAAGAAGCTCGGTACAACCATAGACAATACGCTTAGCATTCGTCCCTGAGGTTGTAGATGAAGCGGTACTCCCAGACGCAGAATCAATATTTGACCCCGGTCCACTTGTGACTGTGCCGTTGACAAGCCCTGCCAAGTGGGCTGACGAACCACTCGTACCACCGGTTGTGGATCGAGCCCAATCGAGCAAATTCTGATATTCCACATATGATCCACCACCGACCACAAACACGTAGGCCTCGTAAAACGGCTGTTTACACCGTGGAACATCCCTGGGAAAATCCGTGAATCGTTGGGAAATTTGAGATGCGTCACACAGCTTAGGTCACAGTGTGTAAATATTGAATCTCAAAGTTGGTGAGCATTCGATACACAATGAAAAGCAGTGATAACAGCATTCACTACAATCTTGCACAGAAGAGTGTTTGTATCCAAACAGCAATTGTCTACACAATACATAAACACATGCTGCTAGATGACCGGAAAACAAAAGTCAGCTCTAACTTACACGCCTTGACGACGGTATAGTTTTGGGTCAAAATAACGGTATTCTTCGGCTTCCGCCCCACCTTTGTTCTCCATCAGCTGTGATACGACACGAGTGAAGGGGAGATACTGCAGGCGAGTAGAGGAAAAGAATGACAGGTTGACTTAGTAACCAGGAGAATCGACCACCATGCATTGAGCTCTCTTTGGGAAATATGGATAAAACAAGAGATATTGGTGAACCTGAGTGAGTTTCTGTCCACAGATGGAGTTATAAGAGTGATTTCTGTAGCTTTCAGCTTTAAATTTGGATTGAACTAGTTCAAAATTATGACAAAAACCGTGACGACTATTGTTTTGTGATATAATGTGCTTCACGAAAGAGGACAGTTCACATGTTAGATGTCCGTTAGTCTTCGGCTCCGCTATTTGTTCGATGAGATCAGTTTAACTGATTTTGAGCGATGCTCACATAACTAATGGAGAATTTGGCTAGGGTGCTAAAGACCTTTATGGAGCCACTAAGTCACAGACCATAGGCTGCTTATTCAAAACCCTAGTCAACTCATTAAGACAAAGATATCATTAAAAGTGGAACCCAAAAATTAGGAGAATAGTAAAAGATACGGTTGCGTCCTGAAAACCTCAGCTCACTAAGTGGAAGTAAACCCTGATGTCGGATGCAGACAGACAGCCTCGCTGCTGCGCGTCCACCGAGTTAATTCCAAGTCCGTAGGTTGGTAATTTTTGAAGTCCTTCATGATGAAGGACCACTTGGGAATAGTTTTGACGTCTATTCAGTAGTGGTAAGACTACCTAACAACAGCTGGTAAGACTAATAATCACTAGGGGCATGACACGTCAGCAAAAGACACGAGATGTCTGAGTACTAACCGACTTCCGACCAATCAGATGTCGCATTCCAGTGAGGAATATAGCCGATCCGTGCGACACTAGTTTGTTCAGCATACTTCGACTAGAATTTGACTTGAGATCACCGAATCCCGACTGATCTCCCGCTTGGATGAGTTTTGGGAGGCGTCTGCACGGAGGAACAAAAGTTCAAGGTTAGACAATCCAGTATTTCATGAAAAAAAACGAGAACCAGGATTGATGAAAAATGGTGAACAGTCAGTCAGTCAGAGAAACACAAGGATTGTTCTTTAGGTGCTGTAAATTACTGACACAGGATCGTCAAATGGGGCATTCGAAACCAGTCAAATCAAACTAAAGCAGAAAAATAATTTTATAACAATCAGACACTCTTCATCTGGGTGATGTGGGCAGGTGTAGCACACAGTGCGACATTCACAAGGCCCAACATCAAAGTTTAACAGAAATCAGTTTGTTCGGCACACCGGTGCCTCGGTACTTGTCTAGGGAGACTATCTGGTGTTTCTCACACACTGACACTAACGTAGTGCGCGCGCCTCGGGTACGGCCAATGATAATAAATAATAGCATTTCAGCTGTAATACCATTTCGGTGTCCAGCTGCCATGCCACCCGAAAGGGGCACGAGGGGTGAGATACTACCAGATTGCCTAAGTCTAGACAAAATCAGTCGAGATGCGGGATTGAGTTCTAAACACGGACCTTCCGATCAGCAAGTTCGGGCCTTAACCACAACGCTATCTCGAACGGTCACCCTCCGAATACACTGTCACCGAGTTAGTGATAATTATGGACCCTGAGCCAGGCAGGCTTATGGCCTCAGAGCTGCTCCTCACCTGCTCTTAATCCTCCGGGTTTACATCGGGAACTGGGTGTACGGCGAGTTGTACACGCGGTCCAGTGCGGAAAGGGTCCGTCAGTGTAGTTGAATGTGACAGGCAAACCTGAGAACGGATTCTGATCCACCATAACTTTAGCTTCCATATAGAAGATTCTGTAAATCACCCCTTAAAACGCGAGAACAGCTTCAACACAATGGCCGTTTCCAGAGTTCAACTCAAAGACGACCCTGGGTAATCCACAGTATGAACGCTCCTCACAATCTAAGCAACACCTGACTGACGTTTTTAAATTTATAGCAATGATTGAATTGCCAGGAAATTGTTTTCATGACTCAAAACGGGTAAGATTAACAGTAAAAACACCATCTTACCTCAAGTGTTGCACGTAGTCAACAGAACTGAGGTCTAGTTCTGGACACGATTCTTTCAGTAGATTTTTCAACTGAGTCAATTCCGTGTCTGATAGGCAGAATTCTGAACCCCCACCGCTGACTGAACCACCAAGTCCTGTTGCACCGGAACCAGATGCAGAGCCTACTGCGCCAGGAACAAAGTTACTGCTTCTCAGAAGAGCCGCGAATAACAGAAGACGAAGTTTGTCCTCTGGTGTGCCCATAGCCACATTTTTTATCAGCTCGGAAAGACTAGAATCCTGAATAGAGGTATCAAAAGATGTGACCAGTGAGGATCGCAAATAATACACAGAAAGAACGGTCAATTCATCAAGTCTCATTCCGAACAAAAACACCAGAGAAAATACATTTTCCAGAAGATCCTGGGAACACAGTATAAGGAACTGACTCAGAAACACTATATGAATGACGAAGACAATCTCTTTCCAACTTCGACGACATCGACGTTAGTTCATACAGCAGATATCAAATGTTATTCACACAGAAGCGCCGTGAGTTACTATGGGGTACAGACGCATGCACGTGACATTGGCCAACACACGCTGTGGCCTAAATAACGGGACACTCGCCCGGTATGCAAAAGAACGCGGGTTCGATTACCGCTACCGGAACCTGTTCTCTCCGTATGCACGAATTGAAGTTTGGTACCACTTCGAGATCGCCAAAAAACAATCCCTTCCAATAAAATGCCAGGTCGTCCACTGAACCAGAGCCAAACGACTATTTGGGTTAATTTGCCGTTGGTTGTATGGTGAAAGTAAACAGATAAGGACAGCAAAAACTTTAAAAAATACACATGTGAATCGAAGGTGAAGGATCTGTTGGTTGTGAAAGTAAACAGATAAGGACAGCAAAAACTTTAAAAAATACACATGTGAATCGAAGGTGAAGGACTGCCCTAAAAATCAAAGAGGCGACCCATGCAGTTGTCTGTATGGGACTATTTTAACGACTCTTTATAAGAGAACAACGACGCCTATTCACACCGAGGAAAACAGGTCCACTAAACGAGTCTCAATATCACGCAAGGCACATTAGACACGTTATAAAGCGAATTCTTTTGGTAGTTTCGGACAAGTTATCAGAGATTCATTTCACGGATACAAACTTATATTCCAGTTTCACGTTCGTCACATAAAACTTGTCTACGAACCAGTTTGAGGTTATTTTGGAGGAATCCGAAAATGTTTCGTTCGACCCCATGGCCAGAGCTCACGAATGTGTTTACTCTGGGACGATAAATTTTTTTGAGCACTTCCGTGATATTCTATCTAATCTTGGACAGGCATCTAAATTGTATCCATCTAGCAGACAGCACCAATTCAGAACTGGCTGTGATAAAGCGTTCATTGCATTCACATGGGTGTTAAAAGACTACGAGAGCTATGTATAACCATGACATGCTTCAAATTAAGAGATAACGGTTCCTCATGCGCTCCAAACATCCTGGAATGCGGAACGCATCCCGATTGAGTGTTGGGGTACTTCACTTCTTGTGAGTGAATGTGCAGACAGCATTCAGAACTGGCTGTGATAAAGCGTTCACTGCATTCACATGGGTGTTAAAAGACTACGAGAGCTATGTATAACCATGACATGCTTCAAATTAAGAGATAACGGTTCCTCATGCGCTCCAAACATCCTGGAATGCGGAACGCATCCCGATTGAGTGTTGGGGTACTTCACTTCTTGTGAGTGAATGTGTACACGGACAAAGGCGACAGTGAGCAGTGCAGCCCGGTCTAATTGAGGAGCAGTGAGCGGTTTTCTGGCGAAACAACAAACACGGATAAAAAACTAAATGATGAACGTACCACCGTTGTTTGCTTCGCCAGAAGTTTATCTTCCTCCTCTGCAAACACATGTAATTGCCGCTGGGTGATCACATTAGCAAGGCAAGTGGCGATGTTCGTGTGCATATCCAAACATCTTTTCCGTTCCATCAACTGGGGAAGGGAACTAACGTTAAGAAAAAACATCAGAAATAGTATTGAGAAGAACAGTGTGAGCTTTGAATCTGCGCACCAACCAACCGATCCTGCTACACCTACCTGATGAGCAGAGGAACACTTTTTCCAACACTGACTACACCTGCTTCGTAAGTGGCACTTTAGTCCGTAGAATCCACAAGCTTAAATACATTAAGCACCCAGTAATTCAATAACTCGCAGTCCCGCGTTATTCGAGTTGATACCTGTGACGACAAGCCCTAGATGTCACACTGTCGTAGTCATCAACGACGTGTGGATCAATAACTCGCCCGCGTTATTCGAGTTGATACCTGTGACGACAAGCCCTAGATGTCACACTGTCGTAGTCATCAACGACGTGTGGATCGGTCGTGCACATATTAACATGCGAAATTCGATGTGGATTACCAGTGGAGAAACAAAGACTGGTCGGTTCTGTCTGTTTACACAAAATATGGAACTGGATGGGAAAAAGATCATATCAGATGCTGCTGGAAGAGCCTTTGCGGTATATATCTGGCATGGGAGCCGAGGTTTGACGAACTATGCACTACATACCTGATATAAAACTGTATACAGGTAGGCGCACGAATCAGGATGGAGGAGTAAATTTGCACGAGAACATACCTTACAGCACTGGTCAGTCGGGCGGTATTGTCATCCAAAAGAGTAAGTGTGGATTCATCCAGTGAAGCAAAACTGTCTGAGAGTCCCATCACTGACTTCAGTTCGCCCATACGCTTTTCGTAGTCGCGCAAGATAGTCACCTCGTCACGGATGGCTTCGGCGACTTCTGAGAAGGCTGCACCTTTGAAGTCGCGCCACAATCGATCGGTTACCGTAGTGAGTTCATATTGTTCAAGTTTGCCCGGCCTTTTGTTCGTTTTGGATTTAGGCGCAGGCAGTCCATCCACATCTGAGCTGGTAACTTCTTTGGCCAAATCTAAGTCGACTTTGATGCGGTTGAGTGTAATTTTCTAAAAGGGAGGAAAATAGACGTGGTAAAACACACAGTAAGGTAGGAAGACAAGGAGTTCTTGGCTCGATAGAAAGTACCCGTGTTTCGTCCTCTTTACGAAGACTTTCTCCCATTAAATTGTCTACTCCCACTCACTGCCAGCCTGAATGAATTTTATTGCGACTTTTGCTGTGTAGAAGTAAGATCGGTTATTTTTATTGCTGACTTACTATTTCAGAAGCCACGTGGGTCAGAACTTATAGGTTTCCCATAATAACGATGATAAACTAATCTTATCTCAACACCTATTACAAAAACTTATCTTCAGAACACAAGTTACATTCCGTTGTATTTAATACTTTATTAAGTGGCAACACTGCAAAGAACTTTCATAGTGACACAGACACCACATCTGGTACAGGCGTATTTGTTTCTGTATATAGCAAGAAGTTGAAAAAAAGGTTTTATGAGAGAGAGGGTCAGTCATTGAAAGCAATTCCCTGAGGCTTTTGTTCTGACTGGTGCAGCAAAACCTGACGAGTATCATTTCAATAAACCGTTTTTCAATGTTGACCACAACGCTACGCGACTACTCACCAAGCTTGCACTTATAGTGAGTGCCTATATTGAAGAGATTTATTGATTCAGATGATGCGTCGAATCAGGAAGGAAACTTGACTAATTGGGGGTCATTCAGGTGGAGATCTCATCGGCAACAAGCTAATGAGAGTAGTTTGAATGCCAACTTTTAAAAAGGTGTCCCACTGAAGAGGATTATGTGTAGTGGGTTGGTGTTCACGACTGGCCACAGCCTCCAAACCAACTCACGTCACGCTGATGCTCACCAGATTCTCCAACAGAATAGTGAAAAGGTAGGAATAACCACTTAACTGCTACCGTTAGTCAAACTTCTCAAGAGAGAAATCAACCGGACTGAACCAGAGCCTTGAGAGTGCATGCTGGTTTTGTCCCTCAGTTTGTGACTGGAGTGAGAAGATGGGGCACTTAAAATGATACCACCAATGAACAGATTCATTAGGAACGGATGCTTCAAATAAATGAATCAGATAGATCGGTTCCTATTTCCGTTTCACTGCGGAGTTTGCTCATCCAAAACTGGAGACAGTTTCTGTGGCCTACTAAGTTCATGGTGAGGAACGTGAAAGTCTTTCAGAGACAGATATCTGACCAGAACTTTTCTGCGCTTGCGTAAAATCCTACAGCCTAGGTTCAATAAGCTTACTAGCGTCAACAACTATATCCGCCCTGAGACCAACATAGTCCAATTGCCAATCCAGTTTGAAGCAGCTATCGCTTTATATGTACTTTCGTCCCAATCATGCCAAGCGGACGCAGACAGTCCAAATACTGGCCGTACCATTATAATGACAGCCCACGACTGGTTTCGCCCTTCTTGGGATCCATCAGGTTGGCGCAGTCTCCGACTTTCCAGTGACCTTATGATCTAATTGAACCCGAATGGGACTGATTTAGACAAATACAGTCATTTGCATATTGTGCCAACTGAAACATGAGGCGGCCTTTATATGCATATGAGTTTCTTTCGGAAAAAGAAGGTATCTTCATATAAATACGTAAGAACGGGAAGTTATGGAGAGGAAAAAAGCAGGAATACACAACTAGTCATGCATATAACACTTTCAGATCAAGAAATTCCCGGGTGAAGCTAATCTTACTCGTGCCGCAGGATATGCCAACGAACGTTGATGATTGGTCGGAGGCAGTCTCCTGAAATCCCATTAGAAACGGAACGATCTAGCGCGTCAGTTCACACTATGAAAACATTTACGTAACTGACCTTATATTTCTCTCTGCACATCCACTTGAACTCCTAACATCTGAAAGTTATTAAGCAGCTACTCCAGAAGCCGTTTTGAAATTTGAGCCGTTTCCATCAAGCAGGGTTTGTACAAAGTGCCTTCCACTAGCCTCCGATGATCAAGGCGTCCATTAGAAAGGGAAGACTCCATAAGTCTTAACGGTACTCCTCAACAGAAGCGGTACAAATACGGATTGGAAAAATTTGGATACATCAGCAGGGCAAACGCTTCAAAGGGGCTATCGCTCTCGTACTGACTTGATGAAGATTCAGAACTTGGAGATATCACCGAATTTGTCCTATAAACGTACTTCGGTAGTATCAGTGGCGCAAAAGTCAATCGTTAAGTGACAAGGTCATCACATCCCTTTCAATAAGAAGTGAACGTTACGGTTACAGCTTTTCAACTATGAACCTAACTAAAAGTGCTTTACTTTGAAAACTATTATCTTTTAAAGGGGCATGAGTGTTGAAGAAAGCCTCAAATGACAAATACGAAACGGTTGTAACTGAAGGTGATGTTTGCAGAGAGGGCAATCGCTCCATATGCTCTGTTTTGGTTCACGAGGCAGGAAGTGGTACAAAATGTTCGAGGTGTTGCCTCAGTGAAATGGACGATAACGTTGGTGGATAAAATGTAAGGAAGAAAATAAGCACAAAGAGCAATAAAAGGGCATAAAACGGGTTCAAAGCAAACGGAACTCACAAAGATATCATGTACTAGGCTCTGATATGTCAGTTCATGATGAAGAGGAGTGGCAAGATCCAAATTCCGGTCTAACAGGACAAGCAGCGGACGCTGGAAGAGATTTGAAAATGTCGGGTTTGTTGAAGTCACTCCAGGATTCTGGGAAGAACGAGTCATCCCCCCAACACCAATTCCCGGAGCCCCGCTTGCTGTATACCCACGAGCAGACTCACTAGTGACAAACAACGAACTGCGAGAATCCCGTAAACTGTCGCGTAACTTCGCATCCAGGCGCGTCGCTATCATCTCCGAAGCATCTCCTTTTGGACATCGTATAATTGGCACTGTGCCCAGCGTGGCAAATACGGAGAACAGACCATCCACCGTTGAATCAACTATGGCTTCAATGTCGCTGTCAGAAGCGTTGGCACGGTTGAGCGCTGAAATGGTGGAATCGAGAGGAAATACTGTCGGTTACACATCGTTTTGGGCTATACGCTGATGAACGGTACCAACCAGACAAATATGGAACATTGCGTTCTCTTTGATCGAAGCAAATGAACGGATGGATGAAATATCGCTAACAGCGACCTAAGACAGGTGAAACTGGGTCAATAACAAAGTTGAACGGACAGGTGATATGGTAAAGCTAGTGTGGCGCGCTCAAGGCGACGGTAACAAACGGCATTGCTACAAAGCATTTTGAACACAGTTGCTGGCAAACTACAGGGCAGCTTAAGTGATTTATCTGTTTTGTTGCGGAGAAAATTACATCTGCAGCACAGATGGTCTCCCATCAGAACGAATGGCCGGACACGCTACGTTAGGTTACTCGAGCACTGACACAAATATCCCCGAAAAGTCGGTTTTCAAAATTCACCTGGTATAAAACGCATCACAAACCGGTTACCATATAAATACGCGGAGGGGGTGTTCGTCATTAACAGCATAACATCAATGTTCAACAATGATGCTTCGCTGCCGTACAACCAAGATTTATTTGAAAACCTCACTGTGTGGAGAAAAATTGTGGCGCTAGCCTTCCACAATCATTTTGAACTATCTAAACCTTCAGACAATCTGGATAGAAATGGCAAAAAGAATGTCACTGATATTGAGTATCAGCCGTATCTTGCAGCTTTTCCAAAGAGGGACGATGAGGATCACGCGGTCCCCATCTTGGAAGGCGAGGTACACTGACGGTACCCAGACATTTCGTAATCTCCTTCATACCCCTCTGCCAGGTCAGAGGTTGACCACCTCTCTGCCTCCGCAATTCGGAATGGGGCATGGAAAACAGCACTGTCTTCTGCAAACCATAGTTTGGCATACGCAGTACATGACCTGGTCAACGCAGCTTTTGGTGCTGGACACATTTTTCAGTGAAAGTTCACCCTGCACAACCTAAAGCTTGCTTTCTAATTACCTCGTTACGGATACACGGATATCAATCCACAGGAGCTATGGTCCTCGGACAATGACTGTCGACGATGTCTCAGATGAGCTGCACGAACAGGCCAAGTCTCATAGACGTACATCAAAACAACCCGTAGTTAGCCTGATATACACGTCCCTTGAGATTTATGGACATGTTGCTTGGACGCCATAGGTGTCTCAAATTACCCTTGCAGATTCGTGCATCGATCTCCTCTGTCACAGAACTCTGTCAGAACTAATGCAGCTTCTAAGATACGTAAAACGCTTCACGACTTCGAGTGTCTCTCCCTGGATTGTTAGTGGCGTGTCCAGTGACTGCATGTCCATGATCATGATCTTACACATTGTGGGTGCAAAGTGCATACCAAAGGACGGGATAAATCTGGTCAGTTCATCAAAAACACTTGCATTTTCTCGAATACGAGAACGATGTAATCTGCATATTCCATATCGACAATGTTTTCGTCAGAAGCGATCTGAATACTAGCGTTTTGAGACCTTCCAGCACTCGTCTCATGATTTTTCAACCACGAAATTAAATAGGAGTGGGGAAAGTGGGCACCCCTGACGGACACCGCTTTGTGTACGGAAGATTTTGGAGAGCTCTCCGTATACTCTCACGTCCGTAAGTGAGAATGCTGTTTCGAAATGAGAATACCAAGATCGGTGTGCTCAAAGGGTTCGGCGACTTTGTCGCGGTTCTGATGAATTGACCCAAGCTTTACCACTTCACTATGTTTTCGTTCAACTTTGTCACCGAGTTTAGTCCACGTATATTCCAAATCCATCCACAGCTGATGAAAGTGAATTGAATTTTGACATACCGTGAAATATGTTCTCTATCAGTAGTGACCTGAAAACTAGAAAACTATGCGAAAATAGTATTTCCATGCACAAAAGGTGCGCGAGATCCCGATTGGGTCACCTCGGTTTTCCCCAACATAAGTTAGATAAGTAAACCTATCGGAGTAGTGGGAATGTGGCTCAAGTGGTTAGAGCGCGAATTTACCGACCGTAAGGTCCGTGTTTCGAACTGCCTCTGAACTTCCCCTGTCTAGGCTTGGGCAAGCTGATGGTATCCCAGCTATCGTGCTCCCTTTGGGGGTGGCATGGCAGCTAGGCACCGAAAGGGTGTTACAGCTGAATGATTATTTTTGACCGTTAATTAAGAAGCAAGAACTCCGATTAGGGTGCATGTGTTCAGAAGATGCAAATTCTTCGGGGTTCATAAGTTTCTCAAAGAATACATCAACCTTGGTACCCAGTAATCCAAATACGACATTGAAGTGTATTTTAGACTAGTTTATCAAGGATACGAACTTCTAGGTAATCTCAACATTACAGCACGACTAACTTGACCTCCACAATATTATGGAACACATATGTAGTGGCATATACCGATTGGTTGTTGCTGATCCCCAAGCGTTTCATGTTCCTCCAATTGGGTTTGTACAGTTTGGTACGGCAGTGAAGCATCAGTGTTGAACACTGATGTCAGGCTGTCGATGATGATGATTATGTGCAGTTTGGCTAACTGTATATAGCAAGGTGGGCGTGAGTGTTTTATGTTTATTACACAAAACGCAGTTCACGTGAGAAAAGTGGTATCGTGGTCAGGGATCCTCACGAATAAAATGTACAACAGCCAAGCATACAATCTCTAGTGCGAGCGCACCGGTGAGGTTCAAACCTAGGAGTGAGAAGCAAGGAGAATGAGGAATAATACATTTTGGGTTGGCGAGAGCCGAAAGATCCGAGGCGGGTTAACGAATTAAAGGAAACATCACGGGATTTCGATGAGTTGAATGTGTGTTTGTAAAACTTAAGTGGAGGATTTTGGCGAGATAATAGCTGTATTAAGTGTCTGTACACGGGTGTAAGTGCGTGGAAGCCAAAGGAAAACGCAGAAAAGAGATTGTCGATGCACAGTGGAGGAAGATGGTCTCAAGGGACCCGAACGTTGGTGTTGCGAGCCATCGAGACGGACACAAATTGATCAACCAATCAAGAAACTGGCAGTCTAATTGATCGTGCCTGCACACCGGAAATTGGGAGATAAGGTCAATGTGGCACATCCGACCGAGACTGTTTTATCAAAATTACTAATGTGAAAATCGAGGGAGGTGACACTTCAACAGATGCTACGTGAAGTGGTTGTATCTTAGTAGGTAATGGTGACCAGCCCATAGGGTAACATTCCCCAGATCGCCCAGCAACTTTTAAGTCTGTAACTACTCCAAGGGTGAGGATAAAATGGAGGTGACGTAAATAAAACCAAGTTTGAGAGGGCCACGGAATTGCAATAAGGGCTAGTTCCCGAAAAGAGTGGAAGGTACCTGTGGGAATGGAGATGTTGCAACAGCAAAAGAAGGCAACAACAGATGAATTAACTTGTACTACCAATGTTCTAAAAGATGGCAATACCCTCATCTATCCATGAGGACCGGGATACTTTGTAGTGAAGATCAGAACTGAATTGATCAACTCAATATGTTGCGAAACAAGCGATCACTTCTAGGTTTGCAATTGCGTGTTGAAATATTGTGTACGGTACTCCTCTCCACCTCACAGAGTTTCATGGTGACAACTAGCATGAACAGCAATTTGACCATCATGGGAAGCATTGTTAGATGTAAGGACCGCCACATACTTACATGCATTTTATGTACCATCGAGTAAACTACCAGTTAGCACATTACTTCGGCTAACCCGTTCTGAATCTGAAGTACCAAGTTTTAGGTGAAGTCTACATAATTGAGCAAGAGCGTCTTTTGTATGAATTCTGAAAGCGGCATTTCGTGAGACCATATTCGAGAGTTACACTTCGTAGTCAGTTCCGATTTTCCTGCGAACAAACTGTCTCAAACACAACAAAGGTTATTTCGAGTGGTGAACCACACAGAATTTCAAACAAATCTAGGCTTTCGGAATGCCAGCGTGATCTCAAGCCCAATGGGCCCAGATTAAACCTACGGAAAGGCAACGTAGGGGGAATTACATACCATAGTATGAGGGCAAATTGTTGCAAAGCAAAGGTCGTAAAACCAGAAGGTCATCCTCAAGACACACGAAATTGGTGTACTGATCAAAGACCTTCGCAATTTGCTGGACGCAATCTTCCGATAGTGCTGTCTGAGCTATTTGTTCTAAGGACTCTCGGGAAATTGGACTGATGAAGTTCAAATAGTAGGATTCGTATCGACCCGATTCGAAATCCTAAGAGAAAACAGCATGAGATAAAATTATTACTTACTTTACATATGTTCTGCACATTTTCTTTTGACGGATAGACAAAGTATACTGCAGCAACATCTGGAATGTGTTCACGAGGGGAATCAAGGAGACTAAAATCGAAATGGCACTCCAATTTCAAAATAGATTACCAACTTACAGATGAAGGGTTACGCCAAGGGAACGTAGCTCCTTGACGGTTAGCAATGGGGAAATAATATCTCGACCGAGTTGATCATAGATTAAAACCTGATGGCAAAAGTGATAATGCAAAAGGTGAAACCAATGAAACAAGGGTACCTTCCATTGTGGAACGTCCGATGTGGTTGGGGGAGAATTGAAATTGAGCATGCATTTTAAAGCATCTACAATGCGGAAAGATTTTTTAAAGCGAAAAACCGCATCATGTGGACGAAGAAGAACGGATAAATAGAAAAGCTGGGGGTGAAAACAAACAATGACTAGAACATAGTTCAAAATATTAATCCCAATAATTCAGGGTAGCTATGAACGCTTTAATAGCTAAGGCATAAACACCCTAGTAAAATGACTGGGCACCATTAGGTACCATATTAGTATGATAGCTGTGGCCAATTTGAAGTTCTTTATGGTTGACAGACTTCAAAATCCTCAGCTAAAGAAATGCCGCCCCGCTTCATACCGTTCAGAAAATAACTTCTACATGAATGTACTATGGACTTGACCACAGGCCGAAATGTTGGCATGACAGAATGATGCAGTGGACAAAAATGACTATCCAAAATTCTCCACACCCAAATTCATATCGAAATCAATAAATCCATGATAAACAGACTCACTCAAACGCTGGATGAGCACTAGCCATATTCCATGAGTATTTCATAAGTTGAGTGGATTAACAGCTCGATTAAGCCATGGGTCAATCTGAACGAACTCCTTAGACAAACCTTTGCATGGAGTTGACCACAGGGATTAGGTTATCAATTCGAGGATGCTGTTTCTGGTGCATATAAAAATTCATACAGCGGAGCATGCATCGAAAAACTGTAAAATCAAGTCGTTGAGTCATAACACGCATTTGCTGCATAGCTGCCGCACAATAACGAGAAAACAAATACGACACTTCAGACGCCACGAATTTACCGAATGTAAAGGGGCACAAGTGGTCTGACGGAAAGCACTGGTTACCTATTTAAGGTGAGATTCTATCGACCTGGAAAACATCTCTTTGGTTATCTGGTAGTCCTGGATTTATTAATCGAGGATTCGACAACAAAGTAAAATTACGGTTAAGGATTGGAACGTGTCAACGTTTCATCGCCTGTGCATCAGAGGTGCTGGAATGTGGTTGTCGTTTAGAATGAAACCTGTGAGTTTGGCAAGAGATTTTGGCCAGTGTTTTGGTCGTTGAGCCTAGTTGCAAAGGTCTCGTCACCAGTTGGAGTGACATCATCAGTATGTAGTAGACTGTGCTGCGTCGTCTTTTGGCGGTGCGTCTGTGTGACGGCAATGGGCACTTGTGTTGATATGTACATACGTCTCAATGACTGCGCGTGACCTTTGATTGTAATTGGTTGTTTGACGGAAAACAAATCTACCGAAAATTGAACATCGCCCTATAATTCTCTTTATCCCGGCGAACATAAACCCGTGGTACAACATCAGTGGGCTACGGATTTGTAGACCACATGCATGAACTAACTTAAGCCCACCTCGTCAATAAACCCATCATTCGTACGCGTCATTGTTTCTCTTAGGACAAAAACACGTATGCATCATTCGTATATGATATTTTGTCTCGGGGTTAGTTTATTTGATGGCATATTTTCCTGAATCTCAATAAACTCGCTGGGGACGATTCTGACCGCCGGTACAAACGTGGTCGCACTCAGCTTTCGGGAAATTATTATGGACAACGATACGCCGGTGGTGGATACTGGTGCCATTGAGAAGAGGATGTCCTAATCGCTCGGCAGCAGTTTTAGATCGTTTGCGGATCCCGCGGCAGTTTTAGCTACCACAGTTTCACTCATTAACTATATTGGGTACTTCGACGAAGTTAAGCATGGGATACGGCTGCCAGTTTACTCGAGGTGTGGGCAGGGAGATGGGGTAACCACTTAATGGTATCAGGGGAGGCGGTTTTGCGGGTGTGAAGATCGAGGTGACACTGGAAATAACAGTTCGGCTTCACGAACAACAGCAGGTACGGTACTTGGCCGCCTACCAGCGCCTTTACTCGCTATGTTGTTTCACCTGCTGCAGACGTCGATGAGTTTCTTGGTCATGCTGCAGCGCACTTCCTAACGACAAATGGTTCAGTGAAAGGATCCTCTGAAGTAATCGGTCTACTGACAGTCAAAGCGGGTACTTTATAGTGTCATCATTCACCGACTAAGTTGTTTCCAAAGAACACTTTGGGAATAACAGTCCGATATGCCCACTAGATTCGAAAGGCAACTAGCATTCTGATGCATATAGTGGTACGAAAGACTTGGCAGACGAACAAGTGCCGCATTAAGGCCGTGGATGTCTTCTGTTGGCCAAAGCCGACCTGACCCTTCCTCCTGCTATGTGGGATGTAATTCCAGCTACGACCTGGCAACCTGGATTGGTGACGTGACTCCCTATCACGTCGATTTACTTAGTTGTATGTATAGATGTGACGCCGTGCATTGTTGTGATGATGCAGGCGGCATACCAAATCACTCAACTGAATTCATTATTACTGTTTGCATCTCTGCGGAGAAAGGGTGGCTATATTGTCGAAGTGTTCGACGCTTAAGTAGAATGCTACACGGGAAATCTTGGCCAAACAAAAGCAGATATGGATTATACCATGACGGCATGGTGATGAAGTCAATCATAAATGAAGATAGTCATCTGTGACACTGTGTACGTGCAAAACACCCTAATGATATTGGCTTATTTCTCAGTTAGTCCCACGATGAGACGCGGTCAGTTGAACCAAGGGTAATCCTGATATTGACGAATGTAAAGCGAAACGACAGCGAATGTGGAGCCCCTCTAACAACCGGCGTAGTGTAAATACATGGCTAACGCAAACAGTTCGAGTGGGATGCTGTTTTTTTGTTATAGGGTCTGCATTTCGCGAAGCGGAGGGAGCAGCTATCAATAATCCAAATGCAGCCGGTATCAAGCAGATTCTACGATGGTTGCTATGTCCATTTTGAAGATTGGCACGATGTTTGCGTAAAACATTATCCTCAAGCTGAAATCGCTGAACAGTTAAGGTGAGTTGCGTATGAAGATGAGCTTTCCTTTTCTGCACAAGCACGATCCCAAAAAGTTGGGGAGCACCAGTTTTGCAAGAAGTTCCTAGTGGTCTCTAGCGAAGCTGAGGAGTCTAGAAGCACCGGCCACAGACCAACAGTTAACATATCCTTTTCTGGCACGATCCCAAAAAGTTGGGGAGCACCAGTTTTGCAAGAAGTTCCTAGTGGTCTCTAGCGAAGCTGAGGAGTCTAGAAGCACCGGCCACAGACCAACAGTTAACATATCCTTTGAAGGGGACCGCCGCTTCTAATAGACTACCTTATTGTGATATGTGTACCTGCATGACCCATTCAATATAGTGGGGAGCGGATTATCATGACACCGCCTTCTACAGTAGATTGGTCTAATCGGCTCCTAGCCAGCGAGATGGACAAAGTGGTTGGAGCGCGAATTTACCGGCCGAACCCGACTTCCGCCTCTCGACTTCCCCTGTCTAGGCTTGGGCAACGTGGCAGTATCCCAGCCGTCGTGCCTCCTTCGTATGGCATGGCAGCTAGGCACCGAAAGGGTACTACAGCTGAATGATTTAAATTTAGCCAGTTTTGTGGATGGAGTATATAAGGACTACTTTCCTAAAGCTTATTCTACTGTGGTAGTGTTGTGGCACGCATGCGCTGCCTCTCGGTCAGACTGAAGCAATACTAGTCTTCCTGTTTAGGCCTGGCAGTGTCCTAGCTGTCGTACAACAATGAACTCCAAATTCAGAATAATTTCATGTCACATCGGTTCTCATGTGGTGTGACCAATAGGATAATCTCACTTGCTGTATACATCGGGGCGGATGAGCGAAAACGTAAAGGTTATCTCTTGGTCATGCATTCTATGCAACTTATAGTAATCTCTACAGATAACGCCCCACAGAATGGCGACTCAGTACACTTTGTATTACAAGTGACAGCAACTTCTGCATGCCTGCTTAAAATAGTAGCCTCACAAACCTCGAAATTAATTTTCTAACCCTGAAACCAACTCTATTCAACTGCCTTTATTGCTTTCATAAAGGAAATTATTCACGAGGTTGCTGAAAGCTCTTCGACAGTCCACGACCGGTTTCGCCCTTCTTGGGGCTCACCAAGTAGGCACAGTCCCTAAGTTTCCATCAATCTTATGTTCTAATTGAACCCACATTGGACTGATTGCGACAAATACGCTCATTTGCAAATCAATTTATTGTTCACTGTCTAAGGCAAAGTTGTGCCTATTCGGAAGCTGCATTTCCCCTATGCGCTGCAGACTGACGGAGAAAAGGATCTAGGACGCGGTCAAATTGACTCGGTTCAGTTCAGCTTGTCAGCCATAAACAAGATACAAAGAGTACGCTGGGTCCAGCTGCAAGTTTTGGTAGCCGGAAAATGGAAGTGTGGGGGATATAGTCAAGCACTGGAGGCTATGGCATGATCACTCAGTTTGGGAAACTGAGCAGTTACGTATTGAAGATGATAGCTTTGATGCACTAGCGCCACTGACTACGAGGTTGAGCCTTATGAGTGTCATTAGGAATAAGTGAGTTGATTCATGCGGCTTTCGTCCAAGGAGGACGCAGCTGTCTACCCAACTCGACTTACTGGTTAGTGTTTACATACTTCGCTGCCAGGTCACAGAGGGTCCGCCTTTCGGTGGCTTCCACCCACCACACAGTTGGGCGAAAAGAGGTCTGCGAGACAGACGGTCCGCTGGCATACGGAGTAAATGTCCTAACAAGCGTAGCCTATGAACAGTGAGTAATTAATCCATCACAGGAGAGTTCCCTCTTGCCAAAATCATCTGGCGTACCTCAGCAGCGACAACCCAACGTTTCCACCAGACCCTGGAGACACCGGTAGTCAAACACTGGCAGCTTTTGTATGTCCTCTGAGCGTAGAGACCGACGTATTGATCCACAAAACAATATGGATCGCACTGCCGTGGTGAAAACTCTATCATTGACAGAAAAACTTACGTCACTCCGGCGACATAGATGTCGGAGTTTGGCGAAGGCTACTATTGATTTCCCGGTTCGAGAAGTAACGTAATCTCCAGCCAGTCCACCGGAACTTATACAGCTGCTCAAGTGAACAAATTTATTTAGCACATCGATTGGCTCGTTTGCAAGCATGAGGTTCGGGTTTGGTCCCACACAGTCTTGTGGAAGCACTTTAAACTTCACAGGTGTGGAACGCACACCAAAACGTGTGGCGAAATAATCTAGGCTATCCAAGACAGTTTGCATTTTCGAAGGATCTGAACCAAGGAGAGCAATATCGCTGCATAGTCAGTGTCCGGAATTGAATACCCTGGGAACACATCGATCTCCAGGGCTTCAAACAGCACATCAGTGAAAAAAAGTTGAAGAGAAAAGGTGAGAGAGGACAGACTTGCCTCACACCTAATGAACTCAGGTGAAAGCTGGTCGCATAATCATACTCGCCCACAAGAACTCGCGGACAGACTTGCCTCACACCTAATGAACTCAGGTGAAAGCTGGTCGCATAATCATACTCGCCCACAAGAACTCGCATACAATGACCTAACATGAGAAAAAAATTGGAAGGGGCAGTGATTGCCAGACACTTCCAAAGTATCTGACGTCCGACGGAGTTAAAAGCGGAGTTCAGCTAGAGCAGAACGACCAACATGTGACGGTTGCAAGAGTGGCGCTGTTGAATTACTTGTCTCAAGATGAAGACATGGTTGATGCATCCTCAGTCAAATAAATATAAGTGAATCGTTCAGCTGTAACATCCTTTCGGTGCCTAGCTGCTATGCCACCCAAAGGAAGCACGAGGGCTGGGATACTTCCAGGTTGCCCAAGCCTATATGGGCGAAGTCGAGATGCACAAGTTGGGTTCGAACGAAGAATCTCCAGGTTAGCAAATTTGCGCCATCTCGCCCTGAGGGGGATGGGTGTGGAGGCACAACAGCGACTAGTTTATTCAAGAGAGGTTGTGCTGCGTCCTCGTCTTCAAAGATAAGGGCAATGTCGTCCACGCACTCTTCGATCGACAAGGTTCTCAGCAACACCATTTTGAACACCGCGGTTTTGAAGACCTTCCACCGCTCAACTCATCCTTTCTTCGACGAGGCTGAACGAGGACAGAAACAATGGACAGTCGGACACCACTTTGTATAAAGGAGCCTTTAGAGAGCCCACCATTACACGCCCAGAAGCTCGGGAATATAGGGACTAAATTATGTGAGGCATACCCTGCTGAGTAAGTATGGTTAACAGCACTGACCGATCGACTGAATCGAACGCATTCTTGGGGTTAAGGAATACCAAGATTGTGGGTCGTCTGCACATAAAGGGTTGCTCTAACATCTGATGGAATGTGGAGAGCAGTTGAAATCTGCCTTGATGCATACGGATCAAGGATTCGCGTGCCATAGTAAGACAATGAACCAGTGATGCCAGAATCCTGGATACAAGGGGACCAATACCTCTGTGCTTCCCACATCTAATTTTTTTAATGGGCACTGCCATCGACCCACCCCAGTTATCTAGAACAGTCTCTTCTTCCCAGATGGGCACAAATAGACAAACAAGCACTGACTGAGGGATTCACCGCCATTCTTGAACAAAACAGGCAAAAGGTAGTCACTGTCAGAAGCACGATGACGCTTGAGTAGAGATGTACGCTCCGACACTTCTGGGGCAGAGGGGGTTCCACGTTCACAGTCAACCTTTCTGTTGAAGTCCAAGATTTTGGATTGGAGGTACCAGGTGGCTAACTGAATTGTTGTTCGAAGTATTGTGCCCAGCGATCTAAAATCTCTCCACCGCTGGATATCAGAGAGTCATTCTGGTCCCTGATAGTTTCGTGGACAGGGGGCTTCCGAGGACCGGTCGAGCGAACCATGTGGACCAGCCTGCGGACGTTTCCAGCATTTTTGCCTCTTCCATTTTTTCGGCCTTTCGGGCCCACCAAGATTTACGGTCTGGACGGACACTCAGTTTTACCTGGCGTCGCATGACGCATCGGGTCGAGTTGTGGTTGTGAACAGGGGGACCGTTGCCGGGCCTAGATCAAAGCCACGGTCCTATCAGAGATCCAATGTTTGGATGAGGTTGGCTGTTGTACCACAAACGTAAGTCTCGGTCCTGAGTATACAGTGGATATCTGTTCCAAGCGGCCGATATTAGTCTATGTAGGACGGTCCGACAGGTGTTCAACGAGGCGGTTCTGTGCGCGTTTTGTGTAGACCTTTGGATGAGTTGGCTGTTGTACCACAAACGTAAGTCTCGGTCCTGAGTATACAGTGGATATCTGTTCCAAGCGGCCGATATTAGTCTATGTAGGACGGTCCGACAGGTGTTCAACGAGGCGGTTCTGTGCGCGTTTTGTGTAGACCTGAAACTAGTCATGAAAAGCAGCATCACACAAGTGCATGGTCGCAATCAACGTTGGTGTTTCAGAAGGAGCAGCAGGCAGTGATCGACCATCGCCAGCGGTAACTGACAGGGATGTGGGCTGTTTGGATTCGGGCCAGGTTCTTTGGTGAGCGCCACGCGGTCAAGCAATTTCCATTGTTCCGGAAATTGGCACTGTCTCGTGTGCGCCCCAAGACGACCAACCAACCAGGCCTCAGCAGCGCATAACACACCTAACCGGGCGTCCATATCACCTCCAAGCAAAACGATATGAGCTTCTAGCCCAATTCAAAAGAGCACCTAGAGCCTCTTTGAGATTCAAAGCTACATTACGTAAGCAGATACGATAAAAAGGGTACGATGGACCCCATTTTATCCAGATTCTCCCAGACTTTGCCAAACGAACCGCGCAGGGGCGACTATAAACAGGTGTCCACTCAAGTAGAGGCGCTTCCGCTAAGTAGTTCAATACAATACCTACCCCAGCTTATCCAGCTGCATCATCATCATCATCACCATCGACAGCATGACATCAGTGTTCAACACCGATGCTTCACTACCGTACAACCAGCTGCAGTAGCCTATGTATCACCAGAGGTGCGCAGCCGGAATCTGGAAGAGAGCGAGAGGGTAGTCAGTTCAACTACAGTACACGCGTCCTAAATCCTTGTTTCTAATAGACAGCATACATCAATGTACGGGGAACCAAGCGCACAAACAACAGCCATCTGTTGTCTTGCTTGCTTCAGGGTACACACATTAAAGGCAGTCAATTAGACCGGTTTGAAAAAAGGTTTCGAAGAGTTAAGGGTGTTACTGAATTCGGACGTACAGAAGCTGCATTTGAGTCCTACTAAAGAGAGAGTAGTCGAATTCGGGTGAGGTAGAGTAGAAGGGGGACTTAAATTTGTAAGAAGGAAGGCGTCAGAAGTAGCACGTTTACTTAGTTGCCGTGCTGTATGCAGCAAGGCGACGCCACTCGACGGCCGATGTGGCATGAGATTATTGTTAGTTATAGGACATCACGCAGTGTGGCTCATTGGCTCACGGACGCACTCAGACCGTCACACCACGGTAAGGTCCAGTCTCTTTCTCTCTCTCTCTCTCTTTGTGACGGCACGACTGTTGCGCACTCGAATGATTGTGCCAGAAACAGAGAACGAGGATTGCCGAATGATTGGCTTTAATCTTCTATCAATTTCAGTACATCAGCTAAAACATTAGGAAACACAATTAGCTCAAGGAATAGCGAGTAAAAAGTTAAACACAACATCAGTATATAACACTCTTCCCCGCCGGAGGGATTATTGTCAGGAGAATATAAATTAGGCTTCGCGGTTTCGAAGATTATACGGTCGAACATGTTGTTGGTCTGTGATGTACTGTAGGACATTCCCTGGAACTTCACTGGGTTGTTCTGGTGGTGCCGTTTCGCCTCCAGGAGGATCAAGGGAACCTCTTCCACTAACGGATCGTATTTGGAAGAACGTGTCATCCTTTTTAACAGAACGGGGCCTGGAGTCGATAACCGAGTCGGAAGAGAGGTGCCGTACGTTGACTTCCGGTGGAAGTTAAGAAATCTTTCGTGTGGTGTTGTGTTAGTAGCGGTGCACAATAAGGAGCGAACAGAGTGCAAAGCATCTAGAAGCACACATTCCCACTCGGTAATGTCCCGTTGTTGGGTCTTCAACGCCAGAGAGTACCGTTAAGCCGTTCAACTTGTCCGTTATCGCGCGGATTGTATGGGGTAGTTCGACTGGTTGCCACCCGTGTCGTGAAGAAACGTTTGTACTTCACCTCAGTACTTCATGTCAGTATATAACAACGACATCTAAGGTTCGCCCCTGTAATGGTTCCGCTGTTATCTGCGAAATGCAGTCATAACGGTCTTGGTCAGTGGAACGCCCCCTGGACCTTTATGAACCTTTATGAACCCAGGGGGAGTACCACGAGAATTGATAGTAGGGCTCCTTTTCCTAGCGCTCATGAACGATCTGTCGGTCGAAGAATGATATGTACTCCTCACACTCAATAAATTTTCAGGCGGACACAGAAACACCTTCCGAATGGTCAACTGCGAACCACCTTCCGCTTAGCAGTGAGAAGTGTCATGCTACCTCTTCATTATTCAAACAAATAATCCTACATTTTAGCCTTAAGTGTAGATCGACACACAAATTTTAAGAACTTAGGGGCGATCGCACAAAAAGACGACAGCCAGCTGCTCAGTGCCAAAAGGCATCTGACACACAATAAGGATCAAAAGATGTCACCCTGACCTGATGGTCGGCCTTAAGTGCCGCATTGACCCCGCGGGCTACAGTGGTTGGAACCAAAGGGTGTGAACGATCATTTTATGCATTGTATTGTTCCACAGGATGCAAACATGCCACCAGATGGGCTGTCAGGCTGAGAATATCAGGTGCTTGCGCTCCGATGCCCATAATAAGGTATACGTAGTAAGCTTTGCTTCAGAAGGCCATATTTGGGGGAACAACAATGTTACTTTTTCCCGAGTAGGGGCGGATTAGAAAACGTCGGCTCTAAAATCTGCCAGGTCCGATTGTTCAACGGTTGACTATGACCACCATCGAATCATCCTGTATGACCGAAATGGCTCAGTGGTTAGAGCGCAAATTTACCGACCGGAAGGTCCTTGGCTCAAGCCTGACCTCCGCATCTCGACTTCCCCTGTCTAGGCTTGTTTAACTTGGCAGTAACCGAGTCCCCGTGCTTCCTTCAGGTGACATGGTAGTTAAACACCGGAATGGTGTTACGAACGATTAGTTTATTTCTATTTTTAGTACGACCGGAATAGGTCAGACTATTGAGCCACTGACTCTAAGGGAAGTCCTCCAAATAAACCCTACTACCCACTGCCTTGTGGGAAATAC